ATTCATTTGAATCTCTGTTATTACTGGTGTTTAAGGGCCTGTAAAACGGAGACGAGGATTTTGACTTTATCTAATAAATAATTATGCAAAATTTGTACGAGATTTTTTTATAAGATGGTTAAGTGATTTTGCAATTTGTGTAATGATATTAGCATCAACTGTTTACAATTCAGAAATGCAAAAACTCCGCATTGCTGAATCCGAGAAAAAAAAAATCTGTTTTGAAATTTTGAATGTCAGTAACATGCTGATTGCACTCATGAATAAATGGTATAGCTGAATTTTGTATTGTTCCTTGATTCTCTAAAATAATTTATTCACGTATATTACAGATATTAAGTAATTATTACATGTATAACTTATGGAACTTAAAACTAAAGAATCAACCTTGCGCCTATCAGCTTAGTTAACAGTTTAAAGTTTCATCCCCCCCTTTTTTCTGCTACAGTTTGTGAATAACTACATGTAATTGAATCATGTCGCATGTAATTTGAGTACACTGGTCTCGCACAACGAGAAATGGAATGGACAACAAATATTTTACTCTCTGTACAAGGTTATTTCTAATTTTACTAAATGCATTTTGTAAGAAATACAAAAAAATGTACTAATATTTGACCCGATTCTCAAAACGAAAGTAGAAACTTCTAGACACGTGGTGGACATGTATATTTTACACGTTGTTTTAGAACAACCGAGTAATTTCAAGTTTTGTTTTATCTGTTATTTAACTGACTGACCGCGTACATGTATAAGCAGGTTATTAATTTTTTTTAGATTGATCTAGCTATTATATCAGTATACCATACTAACGAAGAAAGAAAGATGCGTATTTCATTAAATGAAAATCACACTGCATAAGATTTCTAGTTCCTGATGGCTTAAAAAATAAAAAAAAAAAAAATAAAAAAATAAAAAAAAAACGAAGATAAATACATGTAGCTTGATACCACAAAATGATATCAAAAAAATTGCGAGGAGGACATAAGTTATAGAGCTAGAGCGCATGCACTAGCTAAAAGAGATAATTCAACAAATTTAATTAAGATCATGATTAAATCTTATTATTTGAACCTGTCACATTATTCATTAAAGGGCATAGTAAATGTTATATTAATAGATTTTTGTGAGAAATATTCAATACTGCCTTGTTAAAAGGAGAATGGTTTGTAAAAGGGGAGGGGGGGTCTCAACTAACAGAGCAGACGGAACTCATGTTACTTGTCAAATATTCAAGTTCACTACATGAAAATATGAATTTAATTGCAGCCATAGACTGTATTAAAGATGCTTCCTAAAATTTTTAACGACAGTACAAATACAGACAGAAAAAAAATATGAGATGGGATTTTTTTAAAAACCTTTCTGAATACAAAAATTGTTTTAAAAAGTACCTGCATAGGTAGATTAACCACTGCATGTACACCCCCTTTCAGATATTGACAACAAAGGAGAAATATAAAGATAAAGGAAAACATAAACATTTTTGATCTAATTTTAACATTAAGATGTAAAAAAAAAATAAGAAGAAAAAAAAATAAATGAATGAATAATGAAATGTGAAAACAAATAATTCATGTGACTTTTTCATTTAGAATTTAACTAGTCAGGGCTAGACAAATAGCATTGCCCGACGCCCGGGACAACCAATTTTGTTTGGCTGGCAAGTTATTTGATAAGTGGTACCTGCCCGCGGACAAGTGCTTCTCCAGTTAACAAAAAATCAAATGTTGTTTGTTTTATCGCTGTTGAAATGTAATGAATCACAGTACAGCACCTGTTTTTTGCTGCAGTTCATCACTACATCGAATACTCGGTCGGAACTCCTCTAGAATTTACCCATTCATGTGTAGTTAAAATATACACAAGACGTAAAACATAGCAGCTATCGATTCCATGTCAAAAAAGTTGAAGAGGATTTTAGACCTTTTTAGGTAAAAAATAATGTAAAAATTCATGCCGTGAATTCAAACGTTTTATACTGATATTAAAATTGGAGCTGTTGACTGGCGATCACTGAAAGTCACAATCGGCATGCAGTGGTGGTTTTCATAATCAAATACTTTATAATATTTTTTTGTTTTCAATTACAGTGGACCTTCAGATATCCGGATGCCAGATATCCGGATGCTTCAGTTTCCGGACAATTTTTAATTGGAACGAAATTTTTTAACGTTATTTTGTCTTGTTTTACCGGAATTCCGCGTTCCGTATCTGGACGGTCTTTTTTCACCACAAAAATGAATTTTTACGTTATATTTTGGTTCATTTATCCGGACGATAATTTTTTAACTGGTCTGTCAAGTCTGCTCAAATTTCTTGATCTGGGTGTTAATTGTTGTAAAAACACTGGTCTGGCTGTTTGTTTTTAAAGATGATCATCTGCGACCTTTTATCAATGGCTTGCGACAAGGTTAATTGTAGGTCAATAGGTACATGTACGCACGAGGCTCTCGCTTCTCTAACATGGTTTTGATATTTATTAATTAAGGAAAATAATTTTATAAGTCTAGGATAATTTTTCGTAGTCGGCAAATATATTTCTTTTACTGTTAGAATACAGTCGTAACATGGTTTTATGTATTTATAGACATGACATCGGAGTTTTTTATGCACAGTATTTTGTGTGCGAAACGCATTCTATGATTTGATGACATTTATAAAATCACTTTCAAAATTACACAATCGTTAATACGATCTCGCTTTGGATGATTACGATTAGCGTTCGTATACATATGCAGATTATGTCACATTTAGCATTGATGGGCGTTCATATTAAATAAGACTCTACCGACAGTACCGTACCGACATGACTACTGGGAGAAGTTGATTCCTTAGACACTGGGAAGTAGAAATAATTAATGTGACCATATAAACACGTTCTTTTCCAATGACACATGTACTTTTTTATTTATCTACACAAGTATTGAGTAGTATTAACATATATTAAAGTATTTAAACAATAAAACATATTGATAAAAAGCAACATTCTTTACTGGATTGAAATGGTATGAAAAGCCATATACTAAAATCAAGGCAATTCAGGTATCCGGACGCTTCACATATCCGGACATATTGACTGGGAACCAAAGCGTCCGGATAAATGAGGCTCCACTGTACATAAATACACATTACTTTTTAAAAATAAAAAAAATAGGGAATACCTCATTGAAGAAAATAGACTGAAACTTTGACTTTACTAATACTCCGAAAATGCAAAAAGAAATCTGAATCTTAAATGTAAAATTTTACTACTAAAATATTGAGCTGTGATCATGTATGCATATTATGCAGGATAGGAAATAATTTTTTTCAGTTGAGAAATTGTAAGTTGACAATATTAACTTTAATTCTAATGCTTGATATTCATATGCCTTGCAATTGGAAATCATCAAATGATTTGACGTCTTCATTATTTTTCTCTTTGAGTATTTTTGGGATGTTAAAGTAATACAGAGAAAAGTTTAAATTATGCGCACTGCACAAACTAAGAAATCTCCCTGGAACAAGACTTACCCCTAAATTTTTCCGTGGAAAAATTAAGTGATTTTGTGTCTAGTTTGGTCCTCATGTAGTGTATCAGTTGAGAAATAATTTAATTTTAACGATAATGTTTTAATTTTGCGTTATTTAAGAAAAAGGTGGGACAAGCATATTTTTTGGTAGGACAAGTAATTTTACGATGGTAACCTGTCCGATGGCAAGTACTAAAAAATTTTATTTGTCTACCCCTGCTAGTAAGTAGATTGTAATGAATTTTGTTGATAAAATACTTTCTTTAAAATAATTAATCATCACTCAAGCTTTTTTAGCACCTTCTCAGCCAAAGAACAATGACCACAGTAATTATCAGTAAATCTCAGCATCGACAGCACATCAACAGTATTTATCAGTATTTATCAGACTCAACAGTAAAGACGACAGTAATTATCAGTATTTATCAGAAACAACTAAAATTATCAGTAACAACAGTAAGAATAACAGTAAATATCAATATTTATCAGCAAGAACAGCACAGTATCAGTAATTATCAAACATTATCAGTGAAATTTGGGATTCTCAACACTTTTTTCGTCCAGTAGTGAGTGGAGCTCAACAATACAGATGCTTCACCTTCCAAACAAAAGAAAGGGGGCGTACAAGGCGAAGACTATCCCCCTCACTGGGACAATATATTTCTCAATTTTCAAAGTTCACGGAAAAGTAATATTTTTCTAAAATAATGTTTTCTGTAATGTCTTCTTCAACACATTTGATTCAGTTATTTTATTGAATGACTTTTTGATTGATAATTTGTTTTTAAAGTTGACAGTAAAGCATATTTAGTGGAAAATGGGTTTATTAGAGCCATAAAAATGATTCTTGAATATGAATGGTTCAGGTCTCTTTCTTCATTAACATTTATATGATGGAAAAGGAAATGTAAAATCTATTTCATGTTTCAAAAAAATGGAACCTGAACCCATTCTATATGAAAATCGAAGATTTCTGAAAAAAAATTATGCTTCAACAAGCTCATTAATGTAGATCACACTGACATCAAACAATACAACAGACTTCATAGCGTAGTGGTAAACGCCTTCAGTCTTACTCCTAACCATGAACTTTGGAGAGAGTTTGAATCAATTTATTTGTCAATAATTTATTAACAAAAATACAGGAAACAAATGTGTAAAATATTATATTGACAATATAATTTTTGAAAAATATAACTTTTCATGAACTTGTAGAATTGAAAAATGTCTTCGCTCAGAGCTGGGGATTGTCCGTGCCTTGCGCGCCTTCATTCTTTGTGGGGACAGAATTTATATTTTCATAGAAAATACATATAGGGGCCCTCAGATATAATGACTGAATTAAAGAATATAGCAGACAAATTCCTTTTACAAATCATGTTCAGCTTTAATCTGGATAATCTGCTTGAAAGTGCAAGCATAAAGATTAATTAGGCCCAACTGCATATGTGAATGAATATGGTCTAAATTGCTTCAAATGCTTACTTTTGCTGGATTAACAAATATCTCCATTACAAGACCACAGTTCTCTCTGCCATGTTTTTCTAATGTCTCCATCAGCAGTGGTAATTTCTCTAGAGCCTGGTAAACTTTATAGCAATCCTACAAAGAGAAGGCATGCAACTACTGTAAACTAAGTACTATTATTTGTAACAACTTTTTATTTGTGATTCATTGGTTTGAAATCCATCTGCAACTACTATTTTTTACTACATAAACTATGTACACCAAGTATGAAGATATGCATGTGAAATTAATTTAATGAAATCTGAAAATGACACTTTGAAACAGAATTTGGTAAAATATATTTTTATACCCCATAGGTCGAACATGGGGTATATTTTTGTTTTCAGTTTGTTTGGTTTGTATTCTTTTTTAATTATCATTTTTTTTGGTTTTGTTTTTTGTCCTGTGTGCTCTACCTAGCTGTTTATATACAAAAATTTCACTATTTGACCTAACTTTTGAATGGAAGTAGATTAACTTCTTAAAAAAGAATGTAAGTTAGGCACCAAAATCGGCCCTTCTCCAAGTCTGATGAAAATTCTTTTGAAACATGTCTAGGGTGGCCCATTTATAATCCATTTTAAGTTTTGTAATTATATCAAACCATTTCTCCCATAGAGCTCTTTAAATACAGGGCATTTTCTTCAGAAAGTAAACCTATGTATAATGTTATGTCAACTCGACATTCTCAGATTTCAACATACAGATTTTTACGTAAAAATTCTAAGTTAAATCATCTGTTACTCTCCAGTTTTCACACTGTGATATATTCTAAAAACTTCAGCGACTTTAAATTTCACTAGTTTTAAATTCTAAAATAGCTTTCCATAACTGGAAATATTCCTGGTCATTTATCTTGCTGATTTTCTGAGAAAATTATTTCGTTAAAAAAGTCAGTGGGACATTATTATAGCACAAATTCATATTCCCCTATCCCCACTTTCTTACTCACAATATTATTTTCAAAGTCCTATTGCACCATACATCTATCTTTAAATTACTTATGTGTACATGAATAATTTTACATAACAAGATTCCCATGGGCCACAACACTCACCTGAGTAACTTTGGCCCTGCTGTTCCTTACCTGCAATCCCCCCTTGTATTATGTTTTGTGGCCCATCCCTACCCCCAGGGATCATGTTTTGAACAGAAGGCCCAAGAGCCTTGAATCGCTTTTCTGATAAACTGTACAACCTATCACTTCTATTTGAAGCCTCTAAGTATCCTGTATATTTAGATAAAGCCTTGAAATTCCAAAGGTCGGTCATCATGACCTACATTTTAGATGAAACACTCCGAGAACCCAAGATATTCTAAGCAAATTAGTACCTGAGAGTAGGTCATGGTAACCTACTTATCACTTGTCATTCTCTGAGGACCCAAGATGCATCGACTGACAAAGTTTGATGATTCTAAGCCAATTAATACCTAAAATATTTTTAAAATTATAACCATGAAATTTCAAAAGTAGGTCACAGTGACCTAATTTTCAGATGACAAACTTTGAGGACCCAAGATGCATCAATTGACAAAGTTTGATGATTCGAAGCCTATTAGTACCTGACATATTTAAATAAATCCATAAAATTTCAAAAATAGTTCACAGTGACCTCCTCTTCAGTCGACTAACTCTGCGGACCCAAGATGCATCAGCTGACAAAGTTTGGTGAATCTAAGCCAATTAGTACCTAAAAATACTTAAATAAAGCAATAAAATTTCAAAAGTAGGTCACAGTGACCTACATTTCAGTCAACTTACTCCGAGGACCGAAGATGCATCAACTGACAAAGTTTGATGATTCTAAGCTAATTAGTACCCGAAATATTTCATTATAGCCATATAAATTGAAAAGTAGGTCATGGTGACCTACTTTTCAGTCCACCTACTCCGAGGACCCAAGATACATCAACTGACAAATTTTGATGATTCTAAGCCAAATAGTACCTGAAAATATTAACAAGAGGCCCAAGGGCCTTGAATCGCTCTTCTGACTAACTGTACAATCTCTCACTTCTATTTGAAGTATCCTGTATATTTAGATAAACTCTTGAAATTCCAATTCACACTCAGAGAACCAAAGATGATCCTAAGCCAATTAGTACCTGAGAGTTGGTCATAGTGACCTACCTATCACTTGTCATTTTCGGAGGACCCATCAACTAAGTTTGATGATTCTAAGCCATTTAATACCTAAAATATTTTTTAAAATTATAACCATAAAATTTTATAAGTAGGTCAAGGTGACCTAATTTTAAGTTGTTGTACTCCAAGGACCCAAGATAAATCAACTGAAAAAGTTTGATGATTCTAAGACAATTAGTACCCAAAATATCTAATCAAAGCCATAAATTTTCAAAAGTAACCTACTTTTCAGTCGACCTACTCTGAAGACCCAAGATGCACCAACTGACAAAGTTTGATGATTGTAAGCCAATTAGTACCCGAAATATTTAATTAAAGCCATAAATTTTCAAAAGTAGGTCAAGGTGACCTACTTTTCAGTCAACCTTCTCCGAAGACCCAAGATGCATCAAATGACAAAGTTTGATGATTCTACGCCAATTAGTACCTGAAATATTTAATTATAGTCATTAAAATTGAAAAGTAGGTCACGGTTTTGAGGACCCAAGATGCATCAACTTGCAAAGTTTTATGATCATATGCCCTAAAATCTCCAAATTATGCCTCTTAAAACCTCTCAGTATTCGAATTAATGACCTTAATTGTTTTGAAAAAGATTAGCCATAAAATTCAAAAAGTAGGTCAAGGTGACCTACTTTTTAGTTGACGTACTTTGGGGACCCAAGATACATCAACTGACAAACTTTGATGAAAATAGGCCTTAAATTATTCAAAATATGCCTTAAAATCATTTTGAAAAAGAATGGCCACAAAATTTAAAAAGTAGGTCATGGTGATCTAATTTTGAGTCAACATGATATGAGGTCCTTAGATGCATAAACAGACAAGATTTGATGATCCTAGTCCTTATAGTAAGCAAAATATCAACATTTTAATATAATGTAATTTTTGGTCAACTTTGAAGTGACCTTGAGACCACGCCCTTTGCCCAAGGGTAAATCCCTATGCAAATTTTAATCTACAACATATCCTCATCCTTTTGTGTAAGTTTGGTGATAATCTGCCCTGTGATTTTTGAGAAGAAGATTTTTTAGCAACCAATACTTTTGTTTCTATTTTCCTAATTATCTCCCCTTGTTTAAGGGTCACAATCCTAGTTTTAGTATAAATGGGAGCCCTTGGGCCAAGGATACCCTGTGATGAATTTGACAATAATTGGCCAAGGGGTTCTTGAGTTATGGCCCATATTCTAACTAGAACTGTCCCAAATGGACAAATACCACCCGCTGGGTTTTTCAGAGAAGGTACCAAATCACTAATGTTTTCTAGATGTGAGAGGTGTTCACAATTTGCTGAAACATTTAGAGTGAAAATCTAATTACTCATTATATTTTTTTAATGAATGAACTAAGGTGCAGCCTAATAAAACATCAATACTAATAATTACTACATTGAAAAAAATAGTTTGCAACTATCTGTCATCATTGTGAGACATGACACTCTGCAAATTGATTGTTGAAAAAAAATATCATAATTAATTATACAAAATCAAATTGATCTTAATACCTTTATATATCAAACTCATTTTAAAAATAAAAGACTGGTTCCAGTAACTTTGTATTTTGACAGACATAAATTACAATTAAGAGACTTAGACAACAGAGATCTTTGTTTTTTTCTTCTCAATTCCCAGGGGATATAGATAAGACCTGCTTGATCAGAGATGCTCTAACAGCTTCCCACACTGAACTCATTCATTAATCTTTATCTGGATGCATGTCCACTCATTACTCCCAAGGGATAAATGGATTTACACTATCTGCTGTGTAATGAAAAAAACTGTTTTTAATACTTTGTGATTTCTAATGAAGTAGTTTTAAGCTGTAGTTCACATTTTTGTTCAGATGTTCTAGATTCTATGTCTCAATCCTTAGACATGAACCCGAAATGACTAAGTCAATAAAAATGAAAAAAAAAAAAACCAAACACCTGTAAAATGCAGAAAAATTATCAAATGATGTTGAAAATATCAGGTGCACATCTTCATATGGTAAATAATAAGTGTACAAATTTTCATACAAATCTATGCAATAGTCTCTGGGAACAAATTCGGACAAAATAAAAATGAAACAAGAGGCCCATGAGCCACATCACTCACCTGAGCACATTGGCTAGGAAAAAAAGCAAAAATCAGTACAGTATTGAAAAGTTTACAAGGAGGGGGTGTTGAATTTTAAACTACCTGATGATGCTTTCATATCAATATAACAAATGGCTTTGTTGTTCTTGAGCAGCAGATTTTTTTCCCATATATTCATCTGTAAAAAAATGATCCCCCATTGTGGCCCCACCCTACCCCCGGGGGCCCTCATTTGAACAAATATCATTCTACACTACCTAAAGATGCCTCCATATCAATTTGACTAATCATGGCTTTTCTGTTCTTGAGAAAAAGACTTTTTCCTATATATTCCTCTGTAAACTTCGATCACCCATTGTGGCCCCAACCTATCCCCGGGGTAATGATTTGAACAAACTTGAATCTTCACTATCTGAGGATGCTTCCATATAAATATGACCAATCATGGCTTTACTGTTCTTAAGAAGAAGATTTTTAACGATATTTTCCTATATATTTCTATGTAAAACTTGGATCCTCAATTGTGACCCCACCCTACCTCCGGGGTCATGATTTGAACAAATTTGAATCTTCACTATCTGAGGATGCTTCCATATAAATATGACCAATCATGGCTTTACTGTTCTTAAGAATAATTTTAGAGATATTTTCCTATATATTTCTATGTAAAACTTTGATCCCTCATTGTGGCCCCACCCTACCTTCGGGGGTCATGATTTGAACAAATTTGAATCTTCACTATCTGAGGATGCTTCCATATAAATATGACCAATCATGGCTTTACTGTTTCTAAGAAGAAGATTTATAGAGATTTTCCTATATATTTCTATGTAAAACTTTGATCCCCCACTGTGGCCCCACCCTACCGCC